TGGTAAACTGTGACAAAAGGGACACAAACCAATGGGAACACTAATTAACATGATAACACTCTCACATACACAATGAAATCCCTCCTCTCCATCCTGGAGATAATTGGCTTAAGGCACTGCAGTAAACTCAATTATCTCCAGGTACAGAAAATATCTACATTTAACACTAACAGCAAAATACGTAAAAGTACATAAAAATACATAATTCTTATTTTATTACACAGAACCCCCACATTTAACCTATCCCCAGATAGCTCGGATCTGAGCGCCCAATCTAGGTGAACAGCGCTCAGATCCCATGAACAGAGTAGATTTTCCACGAGGTAAAGCATAGCAAGGGCTGTTGAGAAACCAAGGAGGGACAAAAGCAGTCAGTTCCAACTGGTTTGGCAGTGTGCCTGGGACAACGCCCTGCTGGAGAACAATAGACAGGAAACGGGGGAGGGGAAGAAACACACCTTCCCATGGATTCAAATGGGAAGAAACTGTCTTTAGAAGCCAATAAGCCCCAAATAGTCTTTTTAAATGGCAAAACACCCCAGGGCCATAGTCATGAGGAAGGAGGCTGGCAATCAGGCTCCTCCAAAAGCCGGGGACAAAGGGCAGCTTGTCACCTAACAATCCAGGGACAAAAGGCATTTCGTCACACATCTCCCCTTTGGGGGGGAGACTAACCAGGTACCTGACCTGTCGGTCAGTGCCTGAGTTAGTCGATAAACCCACCCACAGTGAACAAGTGCATGAGTAGCCCACCCACAAATAACAAGTGGCAAAGTAGCCCCCCCACAATAAACAGTACTGGCCGGTAGGTTCCAGGTTGTAGGATAAAAATGCAGCATCCTCGGCCTTCCTGGTGCAGCTGGGCAAATAGCTGGTGGTACTTGGGGGGCAAAGGCCAGCGGTGCTCTGCCCTGATGTCAGCTCTTGCGCTGGGATAGCCGGCAGAATGTCAAGCTCTGTACAAGGGTCAAAGGGAGGGCAGAGGCCAACTGCACTCTGCCCAGCTGCCAGCTCTTCCGCTGGTATAGGCTGCAGGACATCAGGCTCTGGACAAGGGACACAGGGAGGGCAGAGGCCGACTGCACTCTGCCCAGCTGTCAGCTCTTCTGCTGGGGTGCTAGGAACATAATCCGGCTCAGTAGCCAGGGGAACATGGGAGTCAGTGGGGGTTAACATCTCCTCTGTTAACCCTGTGGCCAAGTTAGGAGTTAGCTGGGGAGGGGAATTCGTACTTACCCCCTCCTCCTGTTGTCCCTGTGAGGGTAGTTGGGGATCTGGACAGGCTGTCCAGCATCCCTGTAGGTCGGGCACGGAGACCACGGTCCCCTCTGCACCATCTGGGAGAATGGTGTCTCCCCTTGGTAGGGTAAGCTGCCGCTGGGGAGATAGGGTGCTGTGCTCCTCTCCCTGAAACACAGTCTGCCGCTGGAGAGGGAGACCGCCTGTCTCCACTCCCATAACATTGTCATGCTGCTGGAGAGAGAGACCAACTGTCTCTGCTCCCGGTAGGACACACTGCTGCTGGGGGGGAAGGACGACACCCTCGGCCCCCTGGAATTCACACTGCCGCTGGGGAGGAAGGGCGACACCTTCGGCTCCCTGTAATTCACACTGCTGCTGGGGAGGAAGGACGACACCTTCGGCTCCCTGTAATTCACACTGCCGCTGGGGAGTCAGAGCGACTGTCTCAACTCCCAGTGATCATGGTTGCTGCAGGGACGAGGGACCGACAATCTCCTCTCCCTGGGATGCTGTCTGCCGCTGGGATGAGAGACCGGTTGTCTCCTCTCCCTTGACAACCCACTGCCGCTGGGGAGTCAGAGTGACTGTCTCAACTCCCAGTGATGATGGTTGTTGCAGGGACGAGGGACCGACAATCTCCTCGCCCTGGGATGCTATCTGCCGCTGGGGAGAGAGATCAATTGGCCACAGCCCTAATCTCCGCAATCGGAGCTCAAATTCCCATGCCGCTCGATTCTCCTCATCCAACTTGCGCATGGTTGCCAGAATCGCCTCTGTCGAAAGATTCGGGCCATATCTGGTTAACCGCCTCTTGACCTCCTCCCTGTAAGCGTCGCCCTCAAAGCGATAGGTCATGTTTGCTGTGAACAGGGGCGCTGTACGAATACTAGCGTTGCCCTCAAATTGTAATTCCAAATGTTACCGGTGCCTCTGCGCTGCTTCTCCTCGCACTAGGACGCCATCCCACCGCTGCCACCACTGTAACGGAACCGCTGGCACCCCGACCGGGTACCTTCCGCCGACGGATGCTCCTAGTGCTTTCCGAGGACTCCAAGCACTCTGCCTGACACCATAACCACTGCAGACCCCACGAACCGCCGCAGCTTGGTTGGGGTCTCGCCGTCTCCACCCACTCTGGACCCAGGACCAGGGTCCAGCTTCCAGCAGGTCGACCTCTCTCCCAATTCCAGAGAGCAGGAACAGGAACAAGCTCTTAGCAGAGCTTAGTGATTATACCCTGGGGAGTATAGTGATTATAGCAATCCCCAGAGTGTAGTTTCTCCAATCCCCCAAACATGAGCCAAAACTGCATGAAGGTACAAGATGATCTGACTCCAATGAGCGTTTATTACTCCTTATATACAAGTTTTCAGGTCAGAGGCACACCCCCTGGACCTGGTGGTAAACTGTGACAAAAGGGACACAAACCAATGGGAACACTAATTAACATGATAACACTCTCCCATACACAATGAAATCCCTCCTCTCCATCCTGGAGATAATTGGCTTAAGGCACTGCAGTAAACTCAATTATCTCCAGGTACAGAAAATATCTACATTTAACACTAACAGCAAAATACGTAAAAGTACATAAAAATACATAATTCTTATTTTATTACACAGAACCCCCACATTTAACCTATCCCCAGATAGCTCGGATCTGAGCGCCCAATCTAGGTGAACAGCGCTCAGCTCCCATGAACAGAGTAGATTTTCCACGAGGTAAAGCATAGCAAGGGCTGTTGAGAAACCAAGGAGGGACAAAAGCAGTCAGTTCCAACTGGTTTGGCAGTCTGCCTGGGACAACGCCCTGCTGGAGAACAATAGACAGGAAACGGGGGAGGGGAAGAAACACACCTTCCCATGGATTCAAATGGGAAGAAACTGTCTTTAGAAGCCAATAAGCCCCAAATAGTCTTTTTAAATGGCAAAACACCCCAGGGCCATAGTCATGAGGAAGGAGGCTGGCAATCAGGCTCCTCCAAAAGCCGGGGACAAAGGGCAGCTTGTCACCTAACAATCCAGGGACAAAAGGCATTTCGTCACAAATGCCACTCAAAAAAGTATCTATATGATTTAGTTCCTAGTGAAGTGACTTTGAATAAATAGATCATTATATTAAGTTAATTCAATAACATCAGGAATTATCGTGATTCACAAAAATGGTACAATACAAATAGTTGGTGAAATACATGCACCTGTAAACACTCTAATGTATATAACATAGGAACAAAACATATATAATTCCATTGAAATAAGTTTCTTAAACAAAAATTATTTTCCCAAAAGAATCTAGAAAAAGCAGCGATAGAAAAAGACCTATTACGATTTAAAAACCACGAAAAAGGAATATCAGATAACAGATCAAGTCTATCTCTATAACTTTGCGCAAAATCAAGTTAAGGAAAATAATTTTTTACCTTAGAAAGGGCCATATGTCATAATTAACAAAATTTCCCCAGTAGCGTACAAGATAAAAATTCCTAAGGATGGTGATTTTATTGAAAAGTGGGTTCACATTAACCAGTTGCGTGCTTGTCATCCTCTCAATTAAGGATTATAGGTGTGGATTCGGATGCAGAAGAACGACTAACCTGGATGAATGTTTGATTCACGTGGTATCGTATGATGTGAAATGTGGTGATGTGCCGTGATCTCATGCATGTTCATGTCATTAACCATTTCCTTACCATCCAATAACTATGTTTTCTAAGCAAGTTATTAGCTTGTTTAGCTGCTATAGGCGAATTACTGAGGAGTCAGTAATAAATGTAGTGAGGGATGAATTTCTAAAAATATAAATAGCCAAAATGCATAACGTGATGAATCGTAAATAATGTGTTGTTCTAGGGCAAGCCATGTCACAATGTTATCCGATTGTATGCTTAACAACCCTTGAATCATTAGTAGATAAGTCTGAGATGAGTTCCTAATTAATAATCAAAGCTGGAAGTGCACTCAGCTCCTCACTATGGAATCCAGGGTGCTCTTGAAAAAGTCCCAGTACCCAAAAGGACCAAGCGGATAAATTTGTAGAAAATGATCAAGGCACTCCGATAGTTTCTAATTCTTAAGGCAATTTATTTGGACCAGGAACTACAAAGCAACGTTTCAGCCCCAGCAGGGCTTTTTTCAAGCTAATGTAGCACATACAAAGACACAATAACCACTGCAGACCCCACGAACCGCCGCAGCTTGGTTGGGGTCTCGCCGTCTCCACCCACTCTGGACCCAGGACCAGGGTCCAGCTTCCAGCAGGTCGACCTCTCTCCCAATTCCAGAGAGCAGGAACAGGAATATACAATATTTAAATATACAATATTTAAATAAGTGAAAAACCATGTGGTATATTATCAAACATGTGTTATAAACAAGTGATAGTAGTAACACTAATTAAAAGATTAATTAGCTCTCCAATAGTAATCACATTATCAGCGGGCGTCAAAGAGATCAAAGGGTATCAGCCAATCATATTACAAATTCAACCATTAAACTCTAATCAGTTAAATAGTATTGCAGCTGTATTCAATAGTATCTTTTTACCTTATGGAGCAGCAGAAGATTCTAAATAACTGCATTTCCTGGTAAAATCACATGATAACAATCATGTGACACCAACTGGCCAATTGCAGCATACTAATCACATGATCATAGAATTACTCCAAAGACTATTAACAAAAATAAATAAAGAAACATAATAATCCAAAACTAATGACAATATAATAGTCATAATGTTCCTAATTAATGACTGCCGAAAGATGTCCAAGAAGGATGTGGCATGTTTCTGGATTGTACTGCTCCTGTGCCAAGAGCTACGGACCGATCTGATCGCAGAGATGGGACCATCCTCCGGCATCCCGATTCAGGAGACACCAAGGTTCATCTTGACAGAAGAGGATCCTGACCCAACGTGTGTTCGTCAGTTTGGACCCCAAGATTTCTATCGAGAAGGTGTACAACATTTCATCTATGCAGCTTCCTGAAATACAAACCTGGTACCAGATGCACCTCCAAAGAGCACAGGACTGTATTTGAAACATCTTGGAGCAAGCCCGGAAACCTTTTGTATCTCTATTTCAGTGAGCAACCGATCCAAAAGGCTGTTGGTTTGTGCCACCGTCGGTGCAGTTGTCGCAACTGGAATGTCTGCAGCCAACTCTATTACTGTCCAAAAACTGGATATGGAAATGTTTGCGCTAAAGCAGCACATTAATGATATTCATCAGGTGATAAAACTGCAAAGAACACTTCTCCAGGACGTGTTAACTATTGTGGAAGATACAGTTGTTACAACAAATCTGCATTTGTAGTTACTTGGCAAGTCCACTGAGTTGCACCAAAGTCACGACTTATTTAAGTGTAAACTTCTCTTTCTGCATGACCCAATATTGTTCCACACACTTGCTTTTCTTGACGAAGTGCAAACCGGAATGATTGAATTGACAGGGGGACACATACCTCTGTACTTTGTATCCAAGGATATTGTTCATGCGATGCTTGCCAATGTGGATGGAGAGACAATTGAGTCTATGCAATTAAATCTGGCCTTTGAGATGGGGAGTGCTCTACCTCTCTTAATTGATCCGGAATGCATGGAGATTTGCTTTTTATTGGACATACCGTATGTTACTCTCAAAAACGTATTCCAAATGGAAACAATTGACAATAATAATAATGGTGTTATGGTTGATTGTACTAAATGTAAGGTTCAAAGCTCTTTCAGGTACAACGGCAGTCAAAAATGTTCATTACCTACGCAGAGGCCTAACGCCAGAAAATGTGATATGAGTGCACAATATGTCTTGTAACTTCTGTATGTCACGGTTCACGCCGTGACATCCAGTCTGCCAGACGTGGTCGCTCCGGAAGCGCCCGATAGGGGATTTGAACTGTGGTCCTTCTGGACCGTGTCCTGCTAGTTTCCCTCTGAGCCATTTCAGGACTTTGGATAACTCCTGTTTGTTCTTGTATTGCCTGCAGCACTAGGGGTCTGGACTTCACTTAAGGCTCTGATCTGTCAGTTACTCTCCAGCTGAATCTGATCCTAATTAACAGGATATAAAAGCCTGCCTCACCCTGGGAGGGGTGTCAGTTCATTGACTCTGGTTCTCTTGTTTGGTTCCTGTTACTCTGTACCTGCGTTCCAGTGATTCTTGTCTATTCCGGCTTCTGACCTTGGCTTTCCTCCTGGACTACTCTGACCTCTGGCTTCCCTGATTTTGGCTTCCCTTGACCACGCTTCTGCTTATCCCTGCTGTACTGAGTCTTGGAGCACTTTTCCTGGAAAGCCCCCGTGCACAGACTCACAGGCCAGGTGGCGTCTTACCTGGTCACCCTGGTCTGTGTCTACTTTGCAAGGGTGAGCGTATAACTCTGCGAGCTGGACTCCCTATCAGGTAAGACTCCATTACACTGTAGTGCTTATTCATAGACTAAATTATGCATTGCTATGTTAATCACTAAGGGGGGTTATGTCAGTATATTTATACTGGTAGACATTTTGTGTTAGGACAGAAATTAATAGTGTATACTGTAAGTCACCCCCCAGAACAGAGGTGCCTCCATTTTGTAACAGAATGCTAAAACAGACACAAATTTCTCTGCAACTCTATTCATTCTCGTCTGAGCTAAGGAATGCGACTAATGTAAACATTAGAGATAAAACCTAAGATCAGGCATGATGTCTAACAGCAAAAGGGTAGTGGAATGCTTGAATTGACAGGGGGGACAAATTAATCTACGCGTTTCACCCGTTGTAACCGGGCTCTCTCTTGATGGATAATTTGGGGGATTGGGATTGCTTATATACACCCTTAGATTGCCAGTCCTTAATATGGATGTATATTGTAAAATACATCTAATACTTTTAACTCTCCAATACATGCAATCAATTATATAAAATCACAAGCACAGTTTATCATCATTATAGCTTGTCTTATATACAAACCAGACTTCTATGATCACCCTTAAAGTGCCAATCTACGTTATGGGTGCATATTCAAAACATCTCTAATTGTTATATATTACATACATTATAATAAACACAACTGTATGTCCAATATATTCCTTCACTTACATAAAATCATAAACAAAGTAAGTAATCATCTTGGCATTTATCATACAAAAAACGGATGTCTCGGCTTTCTTGTGGTGATAATTTATATCCATAAATACATAGTATTATTGACCCAAATTATCTTTGTTCTAAAATGATTCTAAATGATATGTCACAGAAAACTTTTGGTTTAAAAGTAATTGCTTTGATATCTTTATGAAGACACATTAATTCAATTCCAATATTATAAGTTAATTGTCTCTCTAATACCTAAGAGGATCCATATGGCTATTGTTCAAAAGCCTAAATCTCCTTCTATTAATCCCTTATTGTTAAGTGTGGTTATCTCCACCAATACTATAAGCCTATAAGTCGAATGGCAAGAAGTTAGCCCCATAATCAATTTTTTTGTGCTTCGGTTGTCAGGAATAGTGTTAATAGCGATACCTATTGTGGCTGACATTATAGTTATTTAATTTGCAATATATTTCCCAAAACGAATGTGTTTGTAACGGCAGATAGCTTGATGGAAAAGATTCCTGACTTCTTATCTTCCAATCTAAAACAAAAAGATGGTAAATACATGTCTATCTATACTAAAATTAGGGACACCTTCCTTTAGTAGTAGCGATTTTTATTTTAAAAACTGGTAAGTATAGACTAACAAAAAAAAAGTAAGATACAATAAAAATATATATTTTGTAATAAAATATGGACTTTCTCCACTATAAATTTATGCTGAGCTCATACAGCTTGGCTCTTTCCTCTGCAAAAGTAAATTACTTCAATACCCTCATAACCACACTCTCCCGCGAACCCAAACGACTATTTCACACATTTAACTCTCTTCTTCGCCCTGCTGCTCCTCCTCCACCTACTAACTTGACCGCCTCAGACTTTGCAACTCACTTCACTGACAAGATCTCTACAATCAGAGAAGAGATCTTTCATCTTTCTTCTTCCCCTTACAATACTTCCCCTAACTTCCCTCCCTCTGCTGTTCTATGTTAATTTGCACCCGCTACATTGGAAGAGGTTTCTGCTCTGCTCCAGTCCTCCTGCCCCACCACCTGCTCCCTAGATCCAATTCCCTCTCATCTCATCCGTACTCTGTCTTCTTCTCTTTCTCCACCTCTCACTAAAATTCTCAATCTCTCTCTGTCTCTCCTCTGGTATATTTCCATAGCCCTTCAAACCTGCAACCCAATTCTAAAGAAGCCCAACTCCCCATCCAACTATCGTCCTATCTCACTACTGCCTTTTGCATCCAAGATCCTTGAAAAAATTGTGTATGCGAGATTGACAGACTTCCTTGAGTCCAACTCTCTGCTAGACTCGCTTCAGTCTGGCACTCTGTGGAAACGGCACTGACCAAAGTATCCAATGATCTACTCGCTGCAAAATCTCGTGGTCACTACTCTATACTAATTCTCCTTGACCTGTCTGCGGCTTTTGACACTGTTGATCATCAACAGCTTCTTCTCATCCTCCGCAATATCGGTGTACAAGATATTGCTCTCTCCTGGTGCTCCTCCTACCTCTCCCAGCGCTCTTTCTCTCTGTTGGTGTCCCCCAAGGTTCAGTCCTTGGTCCCCTACTGTTCTCCATCTATACTGCCTCCTTTGGCTTCCAATATCATTTCTATGCAGATGACATGCAAATCTACCTGTCCTCTCCTGATCTCTCCCCATCCCTCTTGACTAGTGTCTCTGACTGCCTCTCTGCTGTTTCTAACTGGATGGCTGCCCACTTCCTAAAACTAAACTTGACCAAAACTGAAATTCTGGTCTTTCCTCCCTCAAGTGTTGTTACTCCTGTGTCTGTCTCCCTCCAAGTCAACGGTGCTACCATCAGCTCCACCACACAGGTTCGCTGCCTAGGTGTTCTCTTTGACTCCGACCTCTCCTTCAAGCCTCATGTTCAATCTATCGCCAAATCCTGTCATTTCCATCTCAAAAACATTGCGCACATCCGCCCCTACTTAACGCCAGATGCGACTATGGTCTTGGTCCATTCCACTGTCCTTTCTCGCCTTGACTACTGTAATCCGCTTCTCAGTGGTCTTACGTGCTCCCAACTAGCGCCGTTACAGTCCATAATGAATGCTGCGGCGAGGCTCATCTTCCTGTCCGCCCGCACCTCCCATGCCTCACCCTTCTGTCAGTCCCTACATTGGCTTCCTATAAAATATAGAGCTCAATTTAAAATTCTGGTTCTTGCTTTCAAATCTCTACATAATGCTGCTCCCACCTATCTATCCTCCCGTATACACAAGTATGTCCCAGCTAGGCCCTTACAATCTGCTGAAGATTTACGTCGATCTTCTGTACGTACTCCCACCTCTGATGCTCGCCTTCAAGATTTCTCGAGGGCTGTACCGTTCCTGTGGAACTGACTTCACTCCTCGGTTAGATGCTCACCCAGTCTCCACTCCTTCAAAAAATCGTTAAAAACCCACTTTTTCATAAAAGCATATCAATTAAACTGTTGATAGCTCCTGATTGATTCCTCTTCTGCAACTGTCACTAGTCTAATACTATCCTTACCTTTTTGTGTCATTTTACCCCACTCCCTCTAGCATGTAAGCTCATTAAGCAGGGCCCTCAACCCCTCTGTTTCTGTGTGTCCAACTTGTCTGGTTACAACTACATGTCTGTTCGTCCACCCATTGTAAAGCGCTGCGGAATTTGACGGCGCTCTATAAATATCATAATAATAATCATACAATTTTTAAACACAGCTTTTTTAATATAACTGGTTTGTGCATTAAATTTAAAAATTAATAGACATGTGGCGTTCAATGAATTATCATTGATGCCTCTCTTTTTTGAGGGACCAAAATGTCCGTCTGAGTGGTGTCCGAAACTCTCATTATTGCTTTTAAGAGTTGAGAGGGATCATACTCCTTCTCTAAAAACTTTACTTTTCTTAATTGTTCCTTACATACTGCCTCTTCTGAGCAGTTTTTCTTAATTCTCAAGAACTGGCTGAAGGGAACATTTTGTAGCCATGAGGGATAATGACAGCTGGACGTCCAAATAAAACTACGAACGTCCACTGGTTTAAAGAACGTTTTGGATTTTAAAATTCCCTCTTCGACATAAAGAACCAAATCTTAAAATTCTACACTCACAGCCCTTCCACCTCTGCACACTAACGCGTTTCAGCCGAAGCCTTTATCAAAGTGTGAGTCCATTCGGTCTGTTCCGTGTTTAAATAGAAGACTTTTCGCGCCTTTCTTCCGTTCAGAAATAA